ATTTTGGCGGAAATTACTTTTAAAATATTGCACATCATGAAATACATAAATGAACTTCTGGCTGTAGTTGAATTACAAGATTTACCCTAAAAAACAAAAACTGAACACATCAAAAATTTTAACATTTACTATATGCATGGAATTCTCATGTATACTGGACATAGTAACAAGCTCTCTTTTCAAACATACATGTATATGCCTAACTCTCAAAAAATCTGTTATATATATACCAAGTTTTTAGTTTGGAGCACTTCAATCCAAGTTTAATGTATATCAAAATCAAAATATAAAAATTTGAGTTATCAACAGCATAAAACTGGGGCTCAAGGTTATAAAATATTTTTTCTTAGCTTCATCTCAAATCTAAGGGTTTTCATTGGTCAGTGTACATTCTGTATTGAATTCTGACCAATCAAATACCTGAGATCTGAGCTTGAGATGAGAAAACTTATAACCTTGAATCATGGTCAGACTTCACGGAGGTGCAGGCTGACCAGGCTCTATACTGGTGGCAAAGTCCAATCATTTTTGGTTCTAGCAAATTAAAAGTTAAAAGGAACAATAGAATGCATTTTCAATATACAATTTTCAGCAAACATTTTAAGACTAAATTTAAAACAGCTTTTAATACTAATAGAGATCTCATCTGATTGTAAAAACAGACTTGTGGGCATTGTTAATGCCTCTTTTTTCCAAAGAAAAAATGCTTATTTAATCATAATTACATGTATAACCATTGGTTTTATGAAAGTCCTAGTCATTTTCAATGCAGAAATTAGTACTTTCAAGTAAATGCAAAACCCGCAATGTGAACATGTTGGTTTTAAAATACTTTGAAAAATAATGAAAGAAAACAAAAAATAACCAATGAAATTTTTAAACATGCTGATGTTGATAATTTGATTTTTAAGGTATAAACATTGTATATAGGTTGGCATTTTCACGTATAACTGGTTGGATTTTCATGTATATAAGTTCTAGATGGTGGTACTGATGGATGAATGGCACATGTGGGTGAACTTGTAATAAATTGTATCCTGATTAAAACAATAACACAGGTTGCTGCCGGACTTCTAAAACATCTGAAAAAGACATTTAAACATATCAATACATTAACTATATAAATACACAAATGGTAGAGGTACCGAATTTAATGTAAACAACATTAACAGTTTTGCCAAAGTTACCACAATATTATGCCCGGCAACTTTTTAAATCGGCCTTCCTCTCTATCCTAAAAATGAAATTCTGATTCACTCGTTTTTTTCTTTAAGCACACCACAATTTTGAAGTGGAACGTAAGTTTGCCGGGCTAAATATATTATAAATACACTTTTTGAGAGAGGGTTTTCAGTCAAACTGACTGTGTAAAGGTTATTCGGCAACTTTCCAGCTTAACTGGAGGAGGACAACTTAAAGCCTTTCTCCGTACATTATTCTACAATAAACAGGCACTTAAGTAGACTGCTGATCTGGTTAGCATCCTCACATGAAAGAATCAACAGATGCATATAGAATTTGAATCCAGAATGGTCAGGGTTGAGCGATTTTATTTCAGCAACTTTTTATCATCTGGCCAGGGAGGCCCATATATAAACAATATATACAACATACATACCACCTATAATTCTATGCCAAGGCAAGGTAACGTAGGTTAGATATGCATTTAATGATACACTATTTGCTCTCCTTCTTTCTTTAAACCAATGCCACGCTTGACCGAACGATTTACCCCAAAAACCATTATACTGTTCGGAATCTTCTAGCTCTGAAAAAAAAAGAAAAGAAAGACTGGGTCATAAATATGACTATTTAAAATTGCTTGTTTCATTTATATAAATGCCTTGCTAAATTTGAATAATGGAGCGGTCAAGATTTAAATTTGGAAGAGTCCATTAAAAGAACTCCACTGAGGTTCAAAAGCCTAAGATAATAAATTTGAAATTCTTTCTTAAATCAACTGGTACACTTAATATTTGAAACCAAGCAATAGATGATATATAAATATACAAAGTATTAAATTGATAATTGAATTTTATGCGAATTTGGCGGATTTGAGTGAAAAGTGTTGCAACGGTTTTCAATTTTTGGGGCAAATTTGCATAATAAAATGGATTATTTCTGGGAAATGGAGTGAGCGAATGATCTGAAAATTTGTACATGAGTTATTGGTGTAGACATACATCTATTTTTACAAAAAATCTTGAAAAAAATATTTTCGGTTCCCTCTTGTCAAAAAATCTCAGTGGAGTCCCTTTAAGAGATAAAAGGATATACTGCCTGACCTGGTTTTACAGTTAAGCAGACAGAGCACGTGTGATACCAGCAGTCCCCTCACATCAAAAAAACCTCATTGGAGTACCTTTAACAAATAAAGGGATAAACAGTCCGGCCTGGTTGAACAGTTAAGCAGGCTGATCTTGTGTGATACCAGTTCATTTTCAAAATGTTAATCACTGGTATTTGAAGGCATTAAACCTCACTTATAAAAAATTAAGCTTAATAACTCTATGCAAGAAATTCATTCATTACCTGTTCCAAGTTAATACATGTTTTACTATTTTTAAAGAAAATTGTAACATCATTTAGACAGTGATGAGAATAAATGCAGAACAATTAAGTTTTCCCAAGTTGCATTTTATTATGAAACTTGTAACAACCTGGATATGTAAATTACATTATAAATATTGTACAGCGTATAAAATAAATTATATAATTAGGTTCCTTAACTCATGCAGAAGGACTGTAGCATGGTTTAAATATAGGCATTTGCATGGTGGAATTATTGTTGAGTCTGGATATATTGTGCATTTTTTTCTTCATTTCAGCTGTGTTTTTCATGCAGAGTACATTCCCCTACTATATTCGAAGTTTCCATCCATATCAACAGTTGCTCAACAAGACATAAATCATGTGTAGTGCCAGAATAAAGTATATCAACTGGTTCATATACTTAACATAATACTGAACATTTTCTGTATATTCATCCAAAATTTATGATTACTGGTTCCCAACACAAAATGATATGATCACCATATCTTCTTTGTCCTAGCTGAGTCAAGCAGAGTACCAGAATTTACTTCCTGTAAGTTGGTACCCGTCTTTCTAAACCAATATTAACATAAACTCACCGTCATGTAGATTAAAGGCCCAACTTTCTGTCAGGTGGTAATCGTCCATAAACTCACTTTCATGTCACTTTCATGCAGAGTACCAGCCTCTACTTCCTACCTGATGGTTCGAAACTTCATACAGAAATCTGGGCAGGGTTCAGGTCTAACTATAGTCACATTACTTTAACTACACAATGAGAATACTCACAATGAAATGACTACAGTGACGTCACGAATTAACTCTAGTCTAACCATTAAAATACGAGTTTTAAGAGTTTATTTCAAAATCATCCTGAAGTGCAGTCTCTATCATCCCAAGGTTTTGGCGATAACCAAAACTGGACATGCACCGTGATTTAGTAGAGCCAAACACTTGTAAGCACTAAAACCCATTCCCTGATATGAACTTACCATCATGTAAATTACTAGAATATATTACACTTCCTGTCAAGTGGTGCTCATCTTCTAAAAGTAATATCAATGTAACCTCACTTTCATGTAGAGTACCAGACTCTACTTCCTGTCAGGTGGTACCAATCTTCTAAAAGTAATACAGATATAAACTCACCACCATGTAGAGTACCAGCCTCTACTTCCTGTCAGGTGGTACCAATCTTCTGAAAGTAATACAAATATAAACTCACCAACATGTAGAGTACCAGCCTCTACTTCCTGTCAGGTGGTACCAATCTTCTGAAAGTAATACTGATATAAACTCACCATCATGTAGAGTACCAGCCTCTACTTCCTGATCATCGGTTCCTATAATATCAACATTTTGTGTCTCGGAGCGAGATTTTTTTATTGCACGCTGCATAAAGGAAGTAATTGCTTGACTAGGGTCACTCATTCTGCGTTGTGTGTAATTATTCTGCTGGAAAAGGGAAGGAAGTTGTGCATATGATCAGTTGGTTTTAAATGTTTAAAGGGGCTCAACTGAGGTCAAAATGCCTAAAACATAAAATTTGAAATTCTTACATAGAACTAGAACTCCGCGAGTCGGATGTGTCGCCTTGTGAACAATGTAGTTTAGGAGAAATGGCCATAACTCAAAAATTAAGAAATGCAGAGTACCGATTCTTGTGCACTGCACTTTTTCTTAATGAGATCTATCATCTTATGAAGTTTCAAGTCCATAGCTTTTATACTTAAGGAGAATTGGCCTGGACAAAATTAAGGTATGAAAATGAACAAAGGGCAATAACTCAAAAAATAAGAAATGCAGAGTACCTGTTCTTGTGCACTGCACTTCTTCTCAATGAAACCTATCATCCTATGAAGTTTCAAGTCCATGGCTTTTATACATTAGGAGAAATGGCCCGGACAAAAATAAAGTATGAAAATCAACAAAGGGCAATAACTCAAAAAATAAGAAATGCAGAGTATCAGTTCTTATGCACTGCACTTCTTCTCAATGAAACCTATCATCCTATGAAGTTTCAAGTCCATGGCTTTTATACATTAGGAGAAATGGCCCGGACAAAAATAAAGTATGAAAATTAACAAAGGGCAATAACTCAAAAAATAAGAAATGCAGAGTACCTGTTCTTGTGCACTGCACTTCTTCTCAATGAAACCTATCATCCTATGAAGTTTCAAGTCCATGGCTTTTATACATTAGGAGAAATGGCCCGGACAAAAATAAAGTATGAAAATTAACAAAGGGCAATAACTCAAAAATTAGGAAGTGCAGAGTACCGGTCGTTGTGCACTGCACTTCGGGTTATTGAAAAAAGCATGCATACCAAGTTTGAAGTCAATCAGACTTATAGTGACTGAGTTATGCTCCGGACAAGCTTTAGGGGACGCCGACAACGACACAGACGCCGCCGCCGACATAAGTAACCCCTAAATGTCACCTTTTCAAGGCGACACAAAAAGTAAAGCACTTAAATTGGGAAATATGCAAAGGATAATAAAGAATTAAATTGAACATTTGAAAATATTTGTGCATTTTTCAGACTGATTTGAATCATTTTGTGTCATTTGCCAGGTAAAAATGATCATTAATGTGGGAAAATGGGATGACTCATGAGAAAACAATCTGAAAATTTGCATATAGTTTATCGGTTCAGACCTTCATCATATGGTACACAAATCTTTGAAAAATATTTTCAGTCCCGTCTTTTCAAAAAAAACTTTAGTGGAGCCCCTTTAAGAACAGGAAAAGCTGTTTCACATAAGAAATAAAAATCTTGATGCACAAAAGAAGCAAACAAGAATATAACGTCACCTTAACTGCAGTAACGGGTTAAGACCTACTTAATTTAGTAGGAGTTAACCAATTATTGCACTAAGGTGATGATATCATGTTTAGCATGACCTCACTGTGAAGAAAAGCAGAATGTCCTATTTTTAGCCTTGGTGTCCCTGACCCAATCAGCCAGAAGCCACATCCAAAGGCAGAAGTCAATATTTTTTTATCAACTTCATTTAACTGTTTATATATAGTGTCCATCAACAGGTTCCCTCAAATAAGAAGGAAAATATGCTCTTGATCTCTAATCAATATGTTTTGTTTGGTTTTACAGCGCAACAAAACAGTTAATGCTGTATGGCGCCGAAACAGTTAAGATGATTTTGGCTAACCTCGGGTGTTACAAACTTAAAGCAACACCAGGGGTCAAAACCACCTCACCTGCTGGAGCTACGAGATGCATAGACTCCAATAATTTGAACCCATTTAGTCATCTCTTATGTTCACACAAGGTTAATAAGTGGCTGTATTTTGGATGCCCCAATCAGTAAAGGCAACCTGTCAGCCACAAAGGGGATCTACTCAATATGTTTAAGGCATTATTAAATGAAAGGAAGGCTTGCATAAAAAACCTACAGTTAAAACAGGTGAGGATTGAAAGACCAATTGTAATATGGGTTTGAAGATCAATTGTAATACGACAATCAGATTTAATTGGTAGACATTAAAGTGTGTGCAAGGTTGGTTGTGCATTGTGCAATTATATGGTCTTAGGACCAGTTTAGGTAATAATAACAGCTTGAATTGATACCTCCATCTTCACCATTATTCTGAAATATTAATATTAATATATTTATATATTTGGCTCAATGGTCTAGAGTCACTCTCAATTACTTTCACTAATAAGTGGATGGTCATGAGTTCAAATCCAAGCAATGGCATATTTTTTTCTGATGCATTTGCACCTTTCAGTTAAAGTATTAAAAAGTTCTTAAGATTTTTTAGTCACATCAAACCCAGTCACGAACATGTGGCTGTTTCCAGCTTAACTAAAAGTGGAAAACCTCAAGTGCCCCTGTCAGTATTATTTCAGGACTGAGTAGCTATCTTCTATATAGAACTAGCTACCTTTAGAAGTAAAACAATTAAGCTTCAATATGGCCATTACCATAAATTTGATTTCGTCTGCAGTTGCTAATAGTACACATTTTTTTTTCAGTAGGTAGGTAGGTATTTTTCATTTTTTCTATGTCATGCCTAATAAATTTTAAATCTGACACAAGCATGTTATTCTCTATTTATACATTTTAACAAAGACATACAAAAATATATTGTGTAAGCCCTTATGTTCATAAATACAACATTTACAACAATCCATACCTCTTGATTATGATCGAAATCATCTACGGGAAAGTTTTCAAGATCAGGGGTCTCTGGACCTGACCCCTTCACTCGAGAGACGGCTATCTCCGCAAACCCTTTCCCGCCAGGCCCCCGCATTCGGACATATTCTACCCTCTTGTGAGTTTTACTTATCCAACCTAACGACATGCGCTGTACCATTTTACTTGTAAGGCTTGACTGAAATGAAGAAGAAAAGTAATAAGATTGCATAATATTAAAATGATCTAGCTTTGTCCAAAAAGGTCACTTTTGTGGATTCCTAAATTTGTAGATTGTCTGTTTCATTCCCCCCCCCCCCAAAAAAAAAATGCAAATAATTGTATAGCAGACTTATAAATATTTGTTTTATCTCAAATTTGTGAATAACCAATCCATTTAAACCACAAACTTTGAATCTCAGAAATGACAATGATTTTGAAATATCAATAATCCACACCTAAGTTGCGTTGCTTCTATGTCGCTCCTTGAAAATTACCTTAATTATGATGTCAAAGCCATGTGCCAAGATACAAAGAAATATTTCATATATTTGCCAAGAAATAAAGTTGTACAAAAGTTTCATGCAAAACTTTAATAACCAAAGTGTTTGGCTAAGGTCAAAGGCTGGCGTAAAGAAGAGTGCCATTATTATTTTTTTTTAAAGTTGAGCTAAAAATTCTTCAAACCTACCCTTGCATCATAAACCTTCTTTAGATTATCATATCTAATTGAGCCAAGAAAGATAACTCCTTGTAGTTCCCCGTCTCGGTCTGAGGCTACTAATTCAACCGTGACTAACTCACTGTCTTGAACAACTATATCTGTAAATGCCTGAAATAAATAAATCATTATTCATTATTTATGAAAACAATGAAATCTATAATAAATATTCATTACCATCCAACATAGAGAAAATTTTAAAACATGGCTTTGATCATGCATGTATTTTCCTTACTTTTTTCATTGTTTTGTCTGTTTAATTGGGTTTTACCTCCCACTGACACAGTTTAAGTCATATGGCGTTGTTCCAGCTTTACTGGTGTAGGAAGACTTCAGGTGCCCTTCTGTGCATTTATTCAGGCACAAACCTGCACCTGAGTAGAACCACTGATGCTCTGTTAGCTAAGCTTCCTCACATGATAGAATCAAAAGTCCCTATCTGGATTCAAACCCAGAGGAATTGGGAGAAAGTGGTTGAAGTCAACGACAATGACCTCAATCACAGTCACCTCTCTTACTTTTTTGTTGGGTTTTAAATGGCAGAGACACAATATAAGAACATGCTGACAGCTTAAGATGACAGGGTTGTAAATCCTTCTTTATTTAACATAAGTTACAACTCTTTCACACTAAGCCCTCGATTGTCATTCAACTGTATCTCCAATATAACTGAAGCATGAGGATTGAGGACATAAGGTGACCCTCATCTCCAATGTAACAGAAGCACAAGGACATCAGGTATATTCCAGAATTATCTCTGCTGAGCATCACCCTTTGGGAGACAAATATTTTGTATCTTGTTTAGAGGTGTTGCTCTACAGAGGTAAGTATAATTTGGAAACTGTTACATCTGGAAGAAATAATATACTTTTGTTCTAAACAGGCAAATGCTCTTCAGAGGCTATATTATAATATAAGTTATATTTTGTATCCACATTTAGGTTAATGAAAAACAAGAGCACCGCATGTCACACCATGTGGTGCAAGTGGTCATCTGTTAAAAACTGTAAGTTATATTAAATATTGCTTTCAGAATTTTGCTCTATTTCTATCAATTGCATTTTGTCATGATAAGCAAATATTGATACCCTTTGAAATGTTTGAATAATGGGCTACATTTAATTTCTTGCATGACAACGACGACGACAATGAAGCCGCAGCCATCAAAACAGCTCGACTCTTTCTTCAAAACAGATGAGCTAAACCCCACAAATATTTTGTTTTTCAAATTTACACATTGCAATAATAACATTTAACATCTGAATATATAGCCCAACTGTTAGTGAAACTGTTTCTATATTTTCTATACAGACATACTTAAATTTTAAATTTATTTTTTTACGGGGACATAAATCATCTCCGGGACACCTCCGGGACAGACGCCTTATTTCCGGGACATTTCGAGATATTCCCGGATGTCCGGGACCTTATGGCATGTTAGTGAAACTGTTTCTACACAGACTTACCTCCTCAAAGTTATCCACAGTAAAGAATATATTTGGATAACAAATCTCCTCTTGGGTTCCTTTACTATCCATTCTTCGTCTGCTAGGTGATGGATATACTCGCTACACAATAAACAAACAAGATTCCATTTGATTTGATTTCTACCTATCTTTTCTTATTTCATTCTACCAAGCTAAAAAGATCTTTGATTTGTAAAATACAAAATTCCATCCAAAATTTTAATTAAAAATCAACACCATAGAGGTCAAAAGGTGATTTTCAAGCCCAACTGATGGGGTTGGGGTCACGTCAACATCACAAAGGTTATACAGCAAATCTCTAACATTACTGGTGGAAGAAGACCTCAGATGCGGCCTCATGTATTATTTCAGGCACATGCTTGCACTCAAGCAGAACCATGGAGATTTCATTAGCAAGCTGGATAGCTTCCTAGCATGAAAGAAATCTGTCACACAGTGATGTGGGACAAAATATTTTAAGACAGCCAAAGGTAGGCAGGAAAGATGTTGCACTTTTCAATGTCTTTCATGTTTATTAACAGACTAACTCCAGAATTAAGAATATTTGGGGTTTTTTCCCAGCTAATACATGTATAATGTAGGTACAAACAAACTTTTACAGTTACAACTTCTAAAATAAGTGTAACCAGTTGACCTATCTATTGTGATGAGTAGTGCGACGGAAAGCTACAAATATAAAGTTTGATTGTACCTATAAGCTGGGAAAACCCCAATTTGCCGAGTTCCGGATAATATCTACTCAAGTGAACTTCATGTAGTTTACAATTTTCACCAATCACATTGCTATTTAAATGATGTGGGGTAGAAAACTCCAAAATAATCCAGTCTAGACAAGTGCAGACTGTAGAACTTTTCAATACCCTTTAAATGAGGTACAACTTCTTTAAATGAGGTAAAAATTCTATAAATGAGGTAAAAATTAACACTTTGTGTATTAATGGAGTATGAAGGACCACTTTATACCTGAGAATATTTTTTAAGTATTTCTATGTTATTTTTGGCAGTTCTGGTACAAACAGCACACGTCATTGTATATACAAACTGAAATATATAAACGAATAATGCATTTAAAACTTGTAGTCATATGTCATTGCACGATAACCTAGAAAAAAGCGCTGTTTTACAGAAATAAATGTCAATAGCTAATACCACACGCCTTTGCAACATGTGTAAAGCTATGAAAGTCTGCATAAACAGACGGAGCATTTTTACTTTTATCCTATATATATGTCATACTTTGGAGAACCATCTTCTAGCGCAAATGCTGTTTTATCACATGTAACAATGGTATACTTGCCAGAAATGTAGAGCCAGGCCAGTCTAATTGAACAAATCGTCACCTTAGTTAACTAACAGGTTAACTCCTATTAAATAATATACTGAGTTAACACTGCACTAAGGTGACCAAATTTAATATTTTAACTTGCATACAAATATTCAACAGACATAATTATGCTGTACTTAGTGCTAGCATTAAATTATGGCATGCCTCATATTCAAGGACCTACAAAGGAATTACATAAAATCAGAAGGGCAAAAGTTATGAGACTCAACACTGTACAAATATTTTTTTCATACAGGCTCTTTATTTGATTAATGGATCTGCCTGCATAGCTCAATAGGGAGACCATCAGATTTGTAATCAGAGTTGCAGGATCAATCCTCATGCAAGGCATAATTTCATTGAGAGAACCAATTTCTATAGTCTAATGGTCATTTGTCTCTGACTGATGATGAAAAATAAATTAAGATATTTCTAAAATCATTCACTTGCAGAGAAATTGGTAATTATTCGTTTATTTCCCAGATAAGCCAATTAGGTGAACTGACCTCTGAGATATGACCAAGAATGTGTAGAAATCTGCATAAAAACCAGATAATGTAACAATTACAAACAATTTGTATAAATATTCATATATTAATTACAAAATAATGATTCAAAGCAATCAGTCTTACTGATGACTTGATTCAGTAAAAGGTATCTTAAATAATACTTGTTTCTATTCTTGAACTAATAAAATATCACCATGAAAAACATTCATTTATTAAGCAAGTGCTTGTAGATCAATACATAATGGTATTAACCTTTTTAGTCTGAGTAATGACAATGACACAGACTTCACCTGCTTCATTTTGGAATTGTCCATTTTTATTGCAAGGGATTTCAGCATTAAAATAATAAACTCAATTTTACTTTTTTAATGCTGAAAATCCCTTTAAATAATAATGGACAGTTCCGATATAAAAGCAGGACTTGTCCATTACACAAACTTAGCAGGGTAAGGCTTAATATGCATAACATTGTTGGGTCTCTTGTATGGAACTTACCTGATGTAAAATGATATTAAGATAAACAGTTTCCTCCCAGTTAATACTAGTATCATCAAAGGTGGGTTGTTTTTTGGAATGTTTTCTGTATACTTCTATCTCTGTCTATGAAAAATAAAGTCAAATTATTTACAAATACTAGTAAAGGCTCAGTATACAAATATAATTCAATCATTTAAACTTATACGCAAAATAAAATAAAGTAATTGTACAAAGTATAAATACAGCATGTGTGCAAACAAAGGGAAAAATAAAAGTAACAAAATGATGAAATCTTTGAATAAAAATAAAATAATACACAAACCAGCTCAGTTCATTTTCATGATGTACATGGGCTTTTTATTAAATATATCAATTTATACATGTGTGCATTATAATATCATATGAGAAAAAATGAATGGTTGATAAATATTGCAAATCATTTTATGACTACATTGTACCATATATAAAATAACAAATTCAGTTGTTGGATTTTTTTTCTCTTTAAGAATGTCCATATTATTCTCAGATTTACCTTCATAAATGACAGTTTTTCTCCTTTCACACGTCTCACATAAAACAGCATGTCATCTCTTGTACCATCTGAAGTTTCTGACACTAGGAAATATTGCTCAAACAAACTCGTCCAAAATTTCATCGTATCACCTGATATCATTTCAAAATCTACAAATCACAATAAAAAAAACGACCATAATTTTTCATTACTTTAATTTCCTACTAACACCTGCTCACCATATATGTTTAATTATCAGCTAAGTTGGAGCATTGGTGACATAAAGTTAAACTTTCCAATGAACACATTGTCACTTCCATATCAGCACGTTCCTGAAGTGTAATCCAATATTACAATACAATTTGATAAACAAGCTAACTGCATGAAACCCAGAAAATTTGGACCCCATCTGTTGACCACTTATTGATTTTTATGTGTACTAATTGCCAGCTATTTTTTCTTACATTGTCACCATTCGACTATGTAACATTTTAAGCAGCAGAATTAATATTTTATCACATTTGGCACCATTGGCAAGCAACAGTGGGAACCACAATAGACTGTTATTGTACAGAATACCTGTCATGGTAAAATTGATGAGCTTGTCAACTAGAAATGAAAAGAAATTATCTACATGTATCTATCTATCTTCCAGGGCTTACGCTGTCGGTCGCCATAGTCGCCATTTGCGATTATTTTATAAGATTGGCGATTATTTTTGCATTTTGGCTACAAAATCTGGCGATTATTTTTTACTTCAAACAGTGTTTATATAAGGTGTAAAAATCGATAATGAATGCAGTAGACCCAATTAACACCAGCGGGGTGGATTTAATTGATTGTCAACTTTTTATCGGTCACGCGTTGCTTACTATTGCCGAGGTGATAAAAATACATGCCAGATGTAAAATTGTATAAGTACTTAAAAGATATTGTCCAGCATTATAATAGCCATCAAATATCCGTCAATTAGCCACAAAAATCGTCTTAAAATTGATTAACTGGATATTGACCAACCCAAAATTTACCGTAAATTGCAGTAATGGCAAATTCGATTTTTTTTGTTTTAAGATGCTTGACTAAATAGCCAGTTGAAAACAATGATAAAATATTTGAAAGGTATTTACTTCCAAACAACTATTTGCACAACAACCAAAATTGTGGATATTTCTTCAGAAAACAGAAAAAAATCTGATTGTCACATATTTTTGTGACACTGATAATTTTGATATTTATTAAAAGGTGAAAACAAGCTATGTATTGTTTAAAAATCTTTACTATTTTGGCAGAAAAATTGTATTACATTGGTGATGATGAAATTTTTCAGTAAGTTATTCAGAAAAAAGGCTTCATTCTGTGAATGAGTTTGCAAGTGTTATTTCTATAGGCTAATATGACCTAGATCAACTACAGTTCTGTGTAAAATGTGGAAATTGACAGTGGTTATAGCTGACAAAATTTGATTAGAACAAACAAAAGAAAGTGTCTGATAACAGCATTATGGAAAGTTATAATGAATCTTAAGTATTATTGTTATACAGTAATTATACTATATAACATTTTTATTCTGTTCTATAATAACAATTAAAGTTGTGGTTCTATGAAAAAGATGGTAGTTATCAATTATAATACACAAATGTAGGAGTTTATTTGAGAATCCTTATAAAACTGAAAAAGTTTAAATGTCATGTTTAATTAATCAACTGCTTATGTTGTTAATCACTATATCGTCAACAGTCTGCTGAACTTTTGGCTATTATTTTTTTAAGTTAAAAATATTGGCTATTATTTTATTTGAGCCAGTGTGAGCCCTGATCTTCCATTAATGTCAAACCCCTTGCAGGGCCGTGACATGACTCTAGACTTCAGACACAGCTATGAGATACAAGGGAATCCAGGAACCAGTCCCTAACTCTTTTTGAATATACCCCTAAAGGGCCCTTGGGGTTTTACACCTGTACAGCCTAACCAACGGAAAGTGCAGTTATTTTTTACAACTGTAACAAATCATTAAATTTATCAAAAGTATATAAACAAGTCTATTTCCTGTATTGACAAGAAAGGTTCAAGTTAAATATTTAGGCTCCCAAAGAGTACATTGATCGGAAGTAATATTTGCTTGTAATTGCAAGACAGGTAGCTTAAGGTCTTCAGCATACCCGTTTATATACTATGACATGACGTGATTTCGTTTAATTTATCTGTCACTCTGTGATCTTAACAAAATTTCTGTCACCTGACATGATTTCTTGAAAACTTACAAAATTAAAACTGGACACGGTTGGACTTTTCTTGTATAAACTGTTTATTAACAACACAACAAGAAAATTGTAAAATCATATTGTATTTACAAAGCAATAGTGTCATGTGAGACCCACACAAATTAAATATCCAATTTTATGCAACTTTCATTTTATTTTTAATTATCAACCTTACCATAACTGCGTGACATACCTCCAGATATAGAAAATGTTGATGTTTCTTTCTTTCTTTCTTCAGCAATTACAGCTAACATATGCTGCAGTGAGCTGCTAGTCTTCATTTCACTCTCATTCATATCTTCAACTTCGTCTTCGTCCGCCATGTTTACTAACATTAACATTTCCGGGTAGGTCTAATCCAAGGTCATTATAGATAACGTTATCGTCTCGGTTGGAGCTCAGTTATTTTTTTCCTCATTGTTTTCAGTACGACGTAGTTTTATCATAATTGAACTGTGCAACCAATAAGTGTATGTAAAGTGTCAACGTTTTTTTGCGTGGAAAATTCAAGGCCTATTTAGACATTTCATGACATCCGCATAATGAAAGCAGTGACCCATGGTTAATTAATGTGTTCGCTTCTAAACCATGGGGTTGTTGGTTTGAACCCTATTAGGGTCATAACAAGGTTTACGCAGATTGCACCAGTACTGGTCAGTTACAAAATGCATATCAGACACAGGCTGATCTGGATCCAAAATGGCTGTATAGCAATTAAGTCATAATCACCACAATTAGCATAATTACTAGCATATTTAAAGGAACTCCACTGAGGTCCAAATGCCTAAAAACATAAAATTTGAATTTCTTATGTAATTTACCTGGGGAGCTTAAAACAGAAAAATGTGCAAATGATTATTAAGAAATATACTCAGACTATATTTTGTGCTATTCCAGTAGCTCGATTTGGGTGAAAATTGTTGCAACAATTTAGATTTTGCCTCATTTTTCACAATTAGAATAATTATTCACTGAAACAGAGTGATCGAATAATCTGAAATTTTGCACACAAGTTATTGGTCTAGACCTACATCAAATAGCATATTAATCTCTAAAAGATATTTTCAGTCATGTCAAGAAAACCTCAGTGGTGTCCCTTTAATCATTCATCAGATACTTTAAAGGTCACTTCAGTTAATAATTTATATATTTATAAAACATAATAAAACAACATCTTCCATGTTTCATATTTTTTATAAATGCATATTTAAATAAGAACATAAATAAATAGTCATAATAAAATCAGAATACATTTAGAAATTCCAAAAAAAGCATTTATAAACATTAATAATATGATAATTTTTTTTTAGTAATGATTAGGTTTTTTTTCAGGATCCATGCTGTTTGATATCAGTTTCTCTACTTGTAATAGGGTTTGTAAGCGAACAGCATGGATCCTGATCAGACTGCGCAGGCTGGTCTGGATCCATGCTGGTCGCAAACGCATTACTTTGGTTTTGTCAAGATGAGGCTCATTTCATTTAAAAGCCTTAAAATCTAAAAGCCTTAAAGCCTTTAAGTCTTGAAATCAGTTTCTCTACACAAACTCATCCATATTTTTCTATACAAATATTATACTAAATTGTGCATTTTAATCAAAATTTACTCAAGCAAAACATATGAAATACATGTACAAATCGATCACTGTCTATTAACAAAGACTTCATGCAGAGATTTCATATTAACTTTTATCATGATTTTCAAGAAAATACTTCCAATTAATTATTTCATTTATTTTCTCAGGTTTCCTCAGTAATTTTCAATATCATAATGTTCCTGGTAATAACCCTGATAAAGTGTCCCATCAGATCCATACTGACTAGATCCTGGCTGAGAGGCAACTGGTGTGTAACCTTGACCCTGCAATGACTGCAGGGAATGAATTTGACCTTGACTTTCGTTTTGGGAAACAGAGGTCATGGTCACACTAGACTGTGTCTCAATATCTGAAACTGGCAAATTCATCAGACCATGTGAAGAGGAGTTATAAGCTGGAGGGGAACCAGATGCATGATGGTATGCTGGGAAATGGGCTGGTTCCATGTTTTGTTGCTGTGAAGAGATGTTTTGTATCAGGATCTCCGGAACTGAGTGTTCATTTCTGAAAAGAGCAATGGGTATAGAACTGTCTCTGTATTGTTCTGTGCTCTCTCTTAACTGTTGAATTTGTGACCTTAACCTTTGGACGACCTCATCTTCTTGATTCAGAGGGATAGAATGATTTCCACTTTCATGTAAATCTATAACAAGTTTTTCAGCTTCATTTAATAGGTTCGAGTTTGATTCCGAAATGTTTGAATTATCTGGTAAATGCCGGGCTCCAATCTCAAGCCTTTGATTCTCCTGGTTCCCATGTAAAATGGCTGACTTTAGAAGTGACCTACTCCCATGACCTTCAAAAGCTTCTCTTATCATCATTCTGGCTTCTTTTGAGTGAGGATCGAGTATCTTATGTGTCATGTGACCTTGAGGATTATCAGAAAACCGTGTACTGATAGTACCACTTGGTGTTTCATAAGTCTGACTAAGTGATGGTTGTTCCGGTAACCGGCTTCTTAAGTTTTGAATTTCATTCTCCGTATTAGCCTGATAATCTTGAACATATTGACCCTGGTTCTGGTTATCTTGATGTTGCATAAACTGATGTGCGTCCTGAATCAGCATTTCTACGTGACGTGGAATATTCTGGTTTTCCATCATTTGGTTATCCTCCGGTATCACCATATCTAGATCTTGATTCTGTACAGCAGCTTGTGTTACTAAAGAATAATCTCGGGCATTCAAAAGAATGGGATTGCTGCCAGACGCTGAAGGATTGTAGGCAGAAACCATCACATTGTCTTGAGTCATGACCTCCATTTGACTGGTCATATATTGATTATGATTATCTGCAACGTCATTGTTGTTTTCAAGTGTAGCAGTCTGCACTAAAATATCAAACGGCCCAGTTTCCGTTGCCACTTCTCTGGGTAAAGTTTGCTTATTTGTTTCACTTTCCAAACTTTCTTCAAATATAAGCGGGTCAGCATTAACATCACTTGCCTCAAGTGCCTCCATTAGGCTTTTGACTGCGGCTTGAGTTAGTTTATGCTGCTATTTAAATGAAGTTTCATATTTCCACGAGTTGTGCTACGATAATACATAGTTCCACGGGACACAAAAATGGCTTCTCCCCGGTGTGTACACGCTGATGTACTTCATTTGAGTCGCCGTTTTGAATGTTTTTGACAGTCTGGACACTTGTGTTTTCGAAATGGAGCTGTGCTTGTGGAACACATGACTGTTAAGACACATGTTCGAGACCTAAATCCGCTTCCGCATTGTTTTTTTCGAATGGATTATCTTCAAAGTGAATTAAGTTTATGTCGCGTAATTGAAATTTTTGTGAAGAACTCTTTTTTGACACAAAGATCACATTTATATGACCAAACCTTTTGGTAGCGGGATTTGATGTCGAAAGTAATTTATGATAATGAATGTAATACGTCCCTGATTCTTTCGGTCGGAACCCACAAATATCACATTCCTGTAAATCTTTAATATTCTTTGACTTTTTCTCGACAGACACGTAGTCTGGTGTGTCATCCAAATCAATATCATGAGTGCCGATTAAATGAGTAACAGCACGCTTAGCAAATTTGAACTCTACGGAGCAAAATGCACATCGATAAATCTTCACGGCATCTACTGTAGCCGCAAGTTTCTCTATTTCATAAACCTTTGCCATAACAATATCGTTTTTTCACTTTAGGCCTTTTCCTTTTGCTTTTCTTAACTTTTCTTTGTGGCATTCTCCTTCTCAAACTTCTTTTTTATCTAACTCTCCATCTGCTGAAGTGTCTTGGAACTTTCAAAAGATTCTTTACCTCTAAGTTTGCCATCTTCTTCATCTTTTTTCAATCATCTCTCGTAATTTCTTTAGTACGTTTTTTAGGAGGCGGTCTCATATATACAGTGTCTTTCAGTTCTGTTGTTCCATGGTTGACTTTCTGCAATGAAGAATAAAAATGCCTTAAAGCAGCATGCCTCCAGATTCATGCTTACTTTTATGAAATTTTTCAAAATGTTTTTAAAAAAGGTGAACAAGGAAAGTCATTGACAACATTGCAAACAACACTTACATGTACAATTTACAAAAAAATTGTCAAAATAAGCAAAAATAGCCTTTACTGTGTTGTCCAAACCTCAGAAGAAATATGGTAAAAAAAACTGCAAAAACAGATTAATTGCATAAAACATGAAACATTTCTTGAATGGGAAAAAATTTTTTTTTTTTTAAAATTGTTCATTTTTTATTTTTATTTTTAAAATTTAAAGGGGTTCTTCACTTTGCAACCCCAAATTTTTTTTTCCAGTTTTTTTTTTTTTTGGTTTTTACATCACAAAAACAGTTAAAAGATATGGGACGTTCCAGCTTTTCTGTTGAGGGAAAACCTTTAGTCCTTCCGATTTTAATTTTAGCAAAAGGGCACCGAAAGAACCACCAAAATTCCCCAAAAAGCAGTGGATAGCACCCTCCATGAAGAACCAAAAGTCCCTTTCCGGGGGGGAAACCCCCAAGTGGTTGGGGCAAATAATGGTCTGAAAATCAAAGACTTAAACCACTAACCCTGGACGGGGAAAAAAGTTTAATTTTGTTTTTTCCCCAATTTCAATTTTTTTAATACTTTTTATTTTCAATACAAAAAAACTTAACTAACCGTGAACTTTTCTTTTTAAATCTGAACTGACACAGTAAATTTCGGCTTAGGGGTTTCAAAAATTAAAAATAAAAAAATTTTTTTTGGTACATTTTTTCTTTTTTCATGGAAAATTTTTTTTTTAATCATAGATTTTTACATTTAAAAAATTTTTATGTTTATATTTTAGTGACATGATTTCTAACTCAAGTTTTTGAACGGTTTTAATCTTAATATTTTTCACTGAAATAACTATTAATGCTATAAAATTAGAAGGACTATCCTTTTCACTAAGGATGTATAATGTCAAAAAATTAAAAGAATTTTTTAAAAATT